CTACTAGCGTGCCCTCAGGTTCTGAGACCTATTATCTCTGATCTGTGATTTATGAACTATGGGCTAGGATATCCACATGGAGAAACTTGTACAGATGTGTGCTGGATCATGAGTAGCACAGTACACGTTCAGGGTGGCTTCAGAACCAGCTGAGTGAACGATCAAGCAATCACCTTTTATTAAACACCTACAAGCATTTATTAAGCACTAGCCAGAATGCATTAAGTGTCATCCTAGCCATTAGGAATACAAAAGAGAAAAATAAAGTAAGTCCCAACTTCAAAGTACTTACATTCTCTGCAATAGAAATATTTCTACTTGGACGTATATAAAAATATATAAAAGCAGATACAGCTAGAAGTAAATTCAAAATTCATGCAAAATAAATACATGCTAATTTAAGAAAGGGGTGCAGTAGATAGAGCATTAGGCCTGGAATCAGGAAGATTTGTGTTCAGATCTGGCCTCAAACACTTACTAGCTATGTGACCCTGGGCAAATTACTTAACCCCTATTTGTTCAGTTCCTCATCTGTAAAATGGGGACACACTGGAGAAGGAAATGGCAAACTACTCTGGTATCTTTGCCAAGAAAACCCCACAGACTGGGGTCCCAAAAAGTCAAACATAACTGAATGACTGAACAACAATTTAGGAATGAGGCAGTAGCAGCTGGGTCTATCAGAAAGGTCTAAAACTAAAGCAAATTCTTTAATAGATTAGTGGCTCAGTGGGCTAGCCTTGGAGGCAGGAGGACCTGAGCTCAAATATGTGCTCAGACACTGGCTACATGATCCTGGGAAAATCATTTCGTCTCTGTCTGCCTCAGTTTCCTTATCTATAAAATGGAGGTGATAATAACACCTATCTCCCAGGGTTGTTGTGAGGATCCAATGAGATAATATTTGTAAAGTGCTTATTAAACCTTAAAGAGCTATATAAATGTTAGTTATTATCATCTTGGAAATCTCTAGGGATTGACTCCATTCAGTTTATCATTTCTTATTGGTGACATGGGTGAAGATAGAGATGCCCTGCTTCTTAAATGTGCAGATAAACATAAACCAAGGAGTAAACACCAACATGCTGGCTGCAAAGTTCAGATCCCAAGGAATCTCAAGAGGTTCAAACGCTGGTCAGAAGCTAATTTGAAGAACTAGCAATTTTTGGCAAGATGGTGAAGTTAGAGGTCATGAGTGAGTTCAGCTCCCTTTTGTCATCTTAAAAACAGCAACAAATATGTCAAATACAAGAAACAATAATGAAAAACAACATCATCTCAAGAAAAAACGCTCTTAGAAGAGGGGAAAAGATTGATTAAAAGAAGGAGCAAGCAAAATAAATACCCTGACATGATGAGTAAATATCATGGGATGAAAGAAACTAAACAGAAGGGAGCAAAGGAGGGTGGGGAGCAGGAGCGGAGCATGAAAAAGCAGGAAGGGCTCCAGACGTGAAGACTTTCTGCATCACCAGAGACTTCTACGTGGATAATAAGTTAAGAAAAATAATGATTTTGCATCTAATATAGATGGAATTGAGACTCTTATTAAAAAAAAAAAAGAAGCCTATGATAGTCAACAGTTTGGAGAAATCATTGGAGATTCTAAATAAAAAATAATGGATTCATTGAGGAATAAAATTGTCCCAATGGAAGACAAAACAACAGAAGCTTGAAAATAATAGCAGAAAAATTCAACATAAATGGAAGGTATTTATGAGCTCTACAAACAATTATAACAGAACTAAAGACACAGCTTGAGAATTATTGGTCTCCCAGAAAAACAAAATCAAGAAAATGTCTGAATATCACATATTAGAAAGTCTAATGAAAAGATTTCCTGTTGTGGTCATACTCTGGACTCACTGTACTAGGGCAAGGTCAGCAACATCAGCTCCTCAGGGTTCTAGGGGGACCCCTGAGGGGTCGGGGAAGTCTTTCTCTAATGCTCTCAGCTTGTGCCCATTGTTGGATGCCAATAGTTAGTTCCTCAGTTACTGATTAATTGACATCAATTAGTGATTAATTAACATCAATTAGATTTTACAAAAGGTATTTACTTTTACATGTTGCAAAAAACTAACATACAAATATTCCCCCTTGGGGGCAGCTAGGTGGGGCAGTGGATAGAGCACTGACCCTGATGTCAGGAGGACCTGAGTTCAAATCCAGCCTCAGACCAAACACTTGACACTAGCTGTGTGACCTTGGGTGAGTCACTTAACCCCATTACCTAGCCAAAAAAAAAAATGTTCCCTTCCCACACTCAGGGAACACTCTTTCCTGTACCACCTTAGTCCCTGGGGAGAATAGGGAAACAACATAGTTTCTACATAGCATTCACTCCACCAAATTCATTTCCAAATATGGTATTGCCGACGGGTAAATGAGTTTACATCTCTGCTACTGCTGGACTCTTCCAGGAAGTTACTCAGGACTTTGGTCCTCACCATCTGGCTGCTGGAAATATACCCAACAAAGTCAAAAGTAATAACAGGGCCACGTGCTCTCACCATCATGCTGGTGCCGGGTAAGAGAGGGCCCAAGGCCCCTCCACTAATTGGGGACCCTCAACAGCTCCTCTTCTTTTTTGAAATCTATCCAGGTCATAAAAAACCACCAAAAGGATTGCTTTGGCTCACTGGGGCCCTTTGAATGTATCTCCTTTCTGACAATCAAAAAGGCTTTTACAGGATATTTGTGAATGCTCAGAAGCCCACGCAGGGATTACAGCCGATGAGTATACTGTGTGTGCTCAGGAGGACTGAGATCATTGGCTAGTCCCAAATTACACTGGATTTTTTTTGGGGGGGGGGTAGAGAATGAAGTTCAGCAGAATACAGAGAACACCAACAGATACTATCTCAAGTCCAAGCAGCCACAAATATTCTTATCAAACTCCAAAATTTCAGTGATCTTACAAGAAGTCAGGAAGGAATGCAAAACATCATCGACAACAAAATGTAACTCACTGGTTCAAATTCCACAGCAAATCTTGTCAATGACAAGAAGCGATAGAAAGAGCTGGAAATCCAAACAATGGACACCATGGCAAGTTGTGCTTCCTTCAAGAATTACCTTTCTAGTAAAACTGAGCACATATTTCCAGGCGATAAGTTAGGAGTTTTGTTTAAATGCAAATGAGAAATTCCAGCTGGTCCTCCAGACCATGGGCGTCTTTAAAGATCTTTTGGCTTCCTTTTTTTCTATCTGTCATCCTTCCACTCCAAGGATTTCATCTTTTCATCTTTTTATCTTTTCATCTTTCATAATGACTTCAGCCTTAATTGACGCTCTCATCATTCTGTTTTGTTTTTTTCTGTTTCCCTACACCATTTCATTGTTTTATAAGACAATACTGATCATAATCTTCCACCACCTTCTTCATAAAATTTCATAAGCATAGCACTGAGAGCCGGTCTTTGGAGCCAGGAAAACCTGAGTTCAAATCCCATCTCTGACACAAACCAAATGTGTGATCCTGAGCAAGTCACTTAACTCCTTAGTATTTTTAGCAACTCTGTAAGACTGTAAGTTTCAGAGGAGGATCCAACATGCATTGGGAGAGGGAATGTCCTCATTCAGGAGTTCCCTACGCCAATGGAATCAAAAGTGCAGCCCTTTACCTACCTACACACACACACACACACACACACACACACACACACACACACACACACACCCCTGAGCGTATGCACGTGCACATGGAACCACTAGGCTTTAGGAGGCAGTGCTGCATCATGGAGAGAGTGATAGATTTGGAGTCAGAGGATTTGGTTTCATATCGTGGCTCTGCTTCTTCCTACCTCCTCTTTGGATAAGTCACTTCATTTCTGAGCCTATTTTCCAGATGGGACAATGAAGGAGTCCAACCTGACAGCATCTAGAGTCCTTTCCAACCATGTATGAGTGATTCTGGTGAAGTCCAGGATTACTTTTTTTTTTTTTGGCTACCAAGAGAGGCATCTGGGTGGTGCAGTGGATAGAACACTGGGCCAGAGAGCAGAAAGACCTGCTTCAGACTCTTATGAGCTTTGTGTCTCTGGACAAGTCACTTCATCTCTTCCTCAGTTTCCTCAATTGTAAAGTGAAGATAATAAGAGCACCTGCCTCACAGGGTTGTTGTGAAAATCAAAAGGGATCATATTTGTAAAGTGCGTGGCACACAGTAGGCATGTAATGAATCCTTGTTTCCTTCCTTCCATGTTACTGTTGGCAGCTATAGACCTTGCCATCCACTAAAACCCAGATTTTTTTTGATGAACTTCTGCCTAGCTGTTCCTCCCTCATCCAGGATTTCTGTAGCTGATTTTTTTAATCTATGTATAAAACCATAAATTATTCACAATGAAATGTCTTTTAATTTAAGATGAATAATATTTTAGCCTGCCAAGGTTTTTTGGGGTCCTGACTCTGCTATTCAAAGTGCTAGCTATTTCCCCCAGTTTGTAACATTTCAGAATTTGAAAAGCATCCTAGCTACCCCTCCATTCAAGCCATTGATAAGGCCTATGGTCTAGCACCAAGGACAAATCTCTGCAGTCCTCCAAGCAAAGTTGGCCTCAAATCAATAACGGCGACTCTTCAGGTCTGATTGTTCAAGTAGACACAAATCCATCTACCTTGAGAGCTTTCAAGCCAACATTTCTCCAACTTTTCAAAAGAATTTAATGAGAAACTTTGTCAGATACTTGACTAAAATCTAAGTAAACCCGTCTACTGCGTCCTTCCCCATCTGCCAGTTTAATAATTGTGTCAAAAAAGAGAGACCTCCAGGAATATAAATCTCCCCATTTACTGAGGCAGTCCATTCTCTAGGACAGTCCTAATTATTAGTAATCTTTACCTTCTATTGATCAAAATTCTAACTTTTTAATATATGTTAATGCATTTCCCCCTTTTGCTCAAACTTCTGCCCTCTGGGGTCCAAGTAAAACAAATCTTTGCAAAACCTCCAACATCTTCCCCTTCTTTCCCCTCACATAGCCACCACCACTCACCTGAACTACTGCAATAGCAGAGTAGTTGGTCTCCTCAGATCAAGTCTCTTCCCTGCTCCAATCCATCCCCTCAGACACCAAAGTGATTTTCCTAAAGCATAGGTTTGACTATATTACTGCTTCACACTCAGTAAACCTCAGTGGCTCCCTATTACTGCCAGGACAAATTTTACAGTGCTTTATATTAGCATTTAAAGCTCTTTACAACCTGGCCCTTACTTATCTTTCCAATCCCCTTACATTCTGCTCCCCTCCACTCACTCTATGCTCCAGCCATGCTGGATTACCTGAGACTTTGTACCCTCCATCTCCTATCTCCGTGTTCCCATCATTATCTGGTCTCCATGCTTGGAATGTTATCCTTCTCAACCTCCAGTTCTTAGAATCTCTGGTTTCTTTAAGAGTTAGTTCAAATGCTATCTCCTCCAATCTGCTAGTTCCATCCCCTTGATCTCCGTCTTACATGCTCTGGGATCACTAGGTAGGTAGGTAGGTAGATGTTGTCTGTTCCATTAGAATGCAAGATCCTGGGGCAGCTAGCTGGCACAGTAGATAGAGCACTGGCCCTGGACTCAGGAGGACCTGAGTTCAAATCCAGCCTCAGACACATAATACCTACTAGCTGTGTGGCTCTGGCCAAATCACTTAACCCCAATTGCCTCGCCAAAAAAAAAAAATGCAAGATCTTTCGAATTAGGGATTGTTTTTCCCTTTTCTTTGTATTTTTGTATTCCCTGCACTTAGCACAGTGCCTGACATATAATAGTACTTAATAAACGCTTTCTGATTGACTGAAATCTAACTGCTCTTATACATGACAGCTCTTCAAATACTTAAGAATGTCTACAAATTCAAATGATTTCTCTCTCATCCCCTCATTACATTCACTCTCCTATGTACACAATTCCTAAACATAGCACTCAAGACTGAAAAATGTTCTCAGATAAGATTTGGTCCACCCAAATAACAACTAGATTATGGCCTTCTATGTTCTGAAATCCTTTCTACTTTTAAGATCACCTAAGATGACTCTGAGTAAGATAGAGTAGACTGATGTCTGCTCTCCCTGTTGGGAAGAACTGGGTCCAAGTCCAATAATGAAGCATGCTTCCCACTCCAGCAGAGAGGATGAAGTGGGCTCACATTGCAGAGTAAAACCCACATTTTTATTTTTTTATGTTTTATCTTTTTATTTATTTATCTTATTTACTTATTTTTTTATTAATTTATTTTTAGTTTTTAACAATCACTTCCATAAGCTTTTGAGTTTTAAATTTTTCTCCCCTCCCCTCCCCAAGATGGTGCACAATCTGATATAGACTCTACATATACATTCCTATTAAATGTATTTTCACATTAGTCATGTTGTAAGGAAGGATTAGAACCAATAGGAAAGAAAGAAGAAACAAAACAAAATAGAAGGGAAAAAAAGAGCAAATGGTCTGCTTCAATCTGCATTCCAATTCCATAGTTCTTTCTCTGGATATGGATAGCATTTTTCATCATGAGACTTTTGGAGACGTCTTAGGTCCTTGCATTGCTGGGAAGAGTTAAGTTTATCAATATTAGGCATCACACAACGTGGCTGTTATGTACAACATTCTCCTGGTTCTGCTCACTGCACTCAGCATTAGTCCATAAAGTCTTTACAGGTTTTTCTGAAGTCAGCCTGTTCATCATTTCTTACAGCACAATAGTATTCCATCACATTCATATACCACAGCTTGCTCAGTCATTCCCCAATTGATGGGCATCCCCTCAATTTCCAATTCTTTGCCACCACAAAAAGAGCTGCTATGAATATTTTTGTACATGTGGGTCCTTTTCCCATTTGTATGATCTCTTTGGGATACAGATCTAGAAGTGCTATTGCTGGGCCAAAGGGTGTGCACATTTTTATAGTTCCAAATTGTTTTCCAAAGTGGTTAGATCAGTTCACACTTCTACCAACAATGCATTAGTGTTCCAATTTTCTGACGTCTTCTCCAACATTTATCTTTTCCCTGTTTTGTCACATTGGCCAATGTGATAGGTGTGATGCGGTACCTCAGATTTGTATTAATTTGCATTTCTCTAATCAGTAGTGATTTAGAGCATTTTTTTCATATGACTATAGATGGCTTTAATTTCTTCATCTGAAAACTGCTTTTTCATATCCTTTGACCATTTATCAGTTGGTGAAAAAAACCCACATATTTAGATGTGGCCGATGTGGAGATGTTTTACTTGACTATTGCAGAGTTATTACAAGGGTTTTGTTTTTCTTTCTTCGGTAAGGCTAAGAGGCATGGGGTGTGGGGTGGGGGAAGACAAATGCTTCTTGATCGAAAAACATTTTTTTAAAAAGACCTACCTTAAACCTATTGGCACTGTGACCATGAGCAAGTCAATTTCTCAATACTCAAGACCACCAGTTGGGGGTGAGCTGCTGATCTGTATCAGTGGATGGAGTTTCCACATAAAGATTTCCCCAAACTGGTGATAACAGGTCTATACTGATCCCATCACAACACATAGAGCTTGCAGCCCACTAACCCCCCCCCCGATCTTTTTACACAATTGTCCCACCGTGTCTCTTCTAACCTATCCAATAAGAGGTTAAGTGACTTGCTCAAGGTCACAGAACTGATACACGGGAGAGGCATGACTTGAACCCACCTCTTCCTGAGGACAGTTCTTTATCTACTATACCATATAGATGATGATAAGCATTGGGACTAAGCCTGTGATTTCTTTGATATAGAGAATTTAAGGATAAGGAAACTTCCTCCAAACCCACACAAGTCAGCATCTTCTCTGAAACGTCATCCTAGAGAGTTCTTCACAATGCTGAAGTGGCTTTGCCGAAGACACAGAGGCAGCCTTTGTCAGAGGCAGAGTCTGAACCCAGGCGTCACTGGCTTCGAGGCCAGTTCCCCATTCATGATGTCATGACCTCTTTCAGTTCCATACTGATTTGTATACAGGTGTATGTGTATAAATATGGACATATGCATACGTATGTGTGACATATATATTCACAGATATTGTCCTTGTTCAGTCGTGTCTGACTCCTTACGGCCCCAAGAACTAGAGCACGCCAATAGCTTGTCCGTAGGATTTTTTTGGCAAAAATATTGGAGTGGTTTGCCATTTCCTTCTGCAGTGAATTAAGGCAAACACAGGTTAAGTGATTTGCCCAGGGTCACACAGCTAATAAGTGTCTGAGGCCATATTTGAAGTCTGGTATTCCTGACTTTGAGCCCAACACTCTAGCCACTGAGCCAGCTAGTTGCCTCATACGTATGCATACATATACACATACACAAATGTCCAATTATAGACAAACTCAATAGGTTTGTCTTAATGTCTGTGAAGGTAGCATGCGGTCATCTGGACTAGGGGTGGGGAACCAGCAGCCTCCAGGCCACATGTGGCCCTCTAGGTCCTCAAGTGTGACCCTTTGACTGAATCCAAACTTGGTAGAATCCTTAATAAAAGGATTTGTTCTGTGAAGTTTGGATTCAGTCAAAGGTCTACATGAGGACCTAGAGGGCCACATGCGGCCTGGAGGCTGCAGGTTCCCCACCCCTGATCTCGACCAATGTTTTCAAATTGTGATCTGAAGATATCTGGGGGTCCCCAAGACCCTTTCAAGTGGTTCATGAGGTCAAAACTGTTTTCATAATAATACTAAGATGTAGCTTATTAATTAAAATATCCCCTCCCTTTTCCAACTAAATATTAGTGTGAGACTGGATTTTCTCATATACTTCAACCAAAATAACACATTGCAACAGCTTAAAGGCATAAAAAAATATGAGAACCTAGCTGTCTTCAGATAATAAATTTATAAGAAATATGTAAAAGAATACCGCTCTTCTCACTGTTTGTTTTGAAAAATAATTCTTTTCACACAAAAATCTGTGATTGATATTAACATATTTACTATTGTTATTTTAAATTAATTTTTAAATGTATCCATTTTAATTTCTAATACTGTAAGCATTGCTAGGTATAATCCACATATACAAAACCTCTTTGGGTTCCTCAATCATTTTTAAGAGTATAAAGGGGTCTTGAGACCAAAAAGTTTGTGAACCTTTGACTGAAACAAAAGGCTCTTTGCTTCCATCCACACTGGCTACTTTGTTATTCCAGCAAAGATTTTAAACCTCTCTTTCAAAAGGCAGTAAGCTTCAGTGAAGAGACCAACTTGTCGTGTTCTGGCTTTTGATGAACTTAGAACTTAGAACAATGTCTCCTATGATAAGAATTTGTAGAACCTTAAGCTAGATAAGGAATCCTTCTCCTACTTGGATTTGGAAAAGCACTGGCAAACAACTTTGAATGCATGACATTTGTCGTTTTAGGCCTCGTTTAATGCTTTACTGTACAGATCATTGAATAAATGTATGACCATTATCACATGTGTTTTAGGGTCACAGCTATAACTAGGAATTGTGACTCCAAGGGAAAATTTAACTGAGTTCAGGTTTCAGGATAGGAAGTTTAAGGTATACCCACTTTTATACATGGCTATGAGAGACTGAAACCAGAAGTCCTAAAAGTTGAGAATGTTGAGGAACAGGAAACCTAGGGTATTTTAGCAACAGCAGAATAGATCGTATTATATAATAACATACATTATATATAATATATAATAACAATGATAGAGCAAGAAAGAAAATTATAAATTAAGTATTAAATATATAAGGAGAGGAGAGAGACATTCTGTTCATCAATCATACTTGAATGAGGTGTCTTGAGGAGAGTCCCTACACTTCAGTTCTCTGTCTTGCTCAACCCAACCTGCCCACAGTGGGAGTTCTATGTTTCCAAAGAAATATTAACATCATACAGCTAGTCCCAAATTTTCTCAAAGCCCTAGGAGTAATCTTTTTGGGAAAGAATACAGTCCTTCTTCACATAATTATAGCTCTCAAGTACCCATCAGTGTGCTTCCATTTACACAAACCCAGACGGTCTAATGATGACACATTAAATCTTGAGCAGAACTATTTAATTAACAGTAATACGAAGAGGAACATACTGAATATACAGGAAATAGAGGAATAATCAACACATCATGGTCCACACATAAACCTGGGTCAGAGTCACCCGCCAATGTATTCAGCATCTGTGGGGTAGAGTGCAACACACAGGCAGAGAAAACTGTCAGGATTTTCATGAGTATGTTCAAGATACCTCACGGTTCTGGACTATGGGTCTTGTTGTCACTAATCCATTCAGGACCATCTGCATCACACAAAGCTGCTCTCTGGTAATTGCTCTCCTGATGCTTGCCATTTTCTTCCTGGGCAAATCCTCTTCTACTC